AATATAAAAAATCTTTATTCGAAAACACTACGGTCGCATCTTCGATTCAAATCTATCGTTTATATAACATACATAATTATGCGTATTATTATTTGCATGTTATTATTTATATTTATATGAAATTATATTAAAAAATTTAAGTATAACTTTATATATACACATATATAAATATATGTTACGGGCAAAGTCCGCAAATGGGCAATGTCGAACATTGCCTAACGCGATTGGGTTGGACAATGTTCTATTTTTCTCTTGTGGACTTTGCCCGTAACATATACATATATGTATGTATACATATATTGTTATATTTTTGTATTTCATGTTCATAACTATGTATGATATACAACGTTGTGTGTGTATGTATAATAATATGCATTGTAATCGTTGCTCTATATCGCATATCATCTCTTTTATATAAATCGTGCAAAGGCTATTCATCGTACGATCGTGTAATATAGCCATCTTGATGTAAAAAATGCCGATGAAGCGCGATGCTACAGTGAACTAAAGCCGACAACAATAATATTACAATATTACTGTAATATTTACATAATATGATTAATAATTGATATTATTTGCTGTTAAAGCATTCAATATTTTGTTGTGAATAGATTTGCAATATGCATATGTATATAAATATATTCAATTAGTGATGCCTAAATCTATTATGTTGGTATATAGAAAACTTATGTGTTAAAAACGTATTCATTATACGAGATACGGAAAATAGCTATAATGAAAATGTTCTATTTAAATCTACAAGAACAAAATGATTGACTAATTAAAAATATAAAAAATATGTAACTGTAATATTACTTAAAGGCGTCACTAAAATGAAATTTCTGTGCGGGATCGAGCCGTGTTATAAAAAAAATCGATCGATCCTACGATTACGCCTGTTTCCTACTTCGCCAATCGAAAAAAAATGAATAATCCGTGGGATTTAGTTCATTTTATTATATCCAATAAAAAACGCGACGTGAATCCTAAGCCATAGTCGATCTAGAGATATCGAAAAAGAGAAAAAAAACTAAATTTCGAGTGCAAAAGTAAAAAATAGGCACGAGGCAGTCTAATCATATGAACGAGGAGTTTATTCAAGATGATATGATTAATTGAAATTTGAGAAATAAAAAAGATATATAGAAAATATAATTCCACGCGTGGCTTATATCTTGTTGCTTAGAATCTGTACAACAAAACTGTATATACATCTGAACACTGAATGAACAGCGATTATTCGGATATTCGCGTTCGTGTTAGCAAATGATTCATTTTTTTTCTAGGTAACATCAAACAAACATCGAACACCAGGATTCAATAAGAAAGTAATGCAATTGTTCGCACGTAATAATTTGAGATTTGTATTTATGTGTAAATTTATATGTAAAAAAAATCATTAGATAGAGAATGATTGTTCTCTCTTAATATTTTATATTAAAAGAAAAGCTAATGACTTTTTTTACAAATGTATAAACACATAAATATACAACCTCAAATTATTACGTGCTAATATATTATATATATTATATATTCTCCTAATAGATGTTCTCAATACCTTTCAACAGAATTCAATTAAGGATAGGTTAAGTGTTTTAGAAAGAATTATCAGTTCAAGAAGCGACCAGAGAACACACATCACTTACGTTCTTTTCTTCTCACACTCGCGCACAAATCGTGCGTTGTCTTTGATGACCGCCTCATGAAAGAATCGAACTCGATTCGCATTTGCTTTGACGTATACATTTGCAGAACAACAAATGTCCCAATTTACTGTTCATTTGGTGTTCATAGATGTATATCCGTATAAAGAAATCATTTTTCCCTTTATTGTTATCTTATTATTCGATATTTATCTATGTATGTAGTATTTTAATTATATCAAGAGAATGATAACAAAGCAAAGTGTGCCACGCGTAGAGTTAGTGTGTCTAATGTGCATACGAGCTATTTCTATCTACGTAGCTTGGCTGACTCATCATCTCGCTCTCCTACTTATTAGAACCAAAATGAACATAAGAAGGCGCTATGTCATTATGTCATAATGACATTATATAACGTTCTTTTTTTTCGGAAATCGAAAAAAATGTAAATTTCTGCATTCATTTTTCGGAAAGTATTTATACAAGTACTATTGAAATTATTTTTACTCGACACATATTCGCTATTAATTTCGAATTGAAAATCGAATTGATTTCAGCAAATTGAGCGAATGTTATCTCATGAGTTGTATAATAATTAACGGAGATAATTACACAATTGTAATGTCCCACGAATGAAGTATGCCCGAGCTCTCGCGTGTCGATATCAACCGATTCATGAGAACGTGAAGGACGACTCTCTCTTTCTGACAACGCGAGAACTCGCATGATTCTTTAAGTTAAAATCGAGACAACCCGAATCCGAAACGTGCCCTAAGATGAACCGGTTGGGAACCGGTAGTCAGGTTGTTGGACAATAACGTGATAAGGTTTCCTCCGACTACAAGAACGATTCGCTTTATCTGCGCGATGGAAATTAAAATGCATTCCCCGATGACTCGTCGATCGCATCAACTCGTGCGAAAGTGCGACAGCAAGAGGCGGAAAGCGAATTCTTGGAAAGACGTGTGACGTCTAACACGTGGTGTTAGAAACGAGATACCAAAAAAGGTATCTTCGATCGAGCTAGTCGGAGAGAATTTAAATACCGATCATATTATTGGTCGTAACCATGAAAAATTCTCTATTAATTCATGAAAATAATAATTAGAATAACGATGGCTATTAGATTGGCTATTAGAATTTTTTATCAATTTTTGTGATCAAATTTTCATCAATTTTTAAAATAATTTGCGAAATTGTGATAGAATTAATTCCAAACGGATAAAATGAAAAATTCATTAATGCAAAAATTGATATAACTATATAAAAATTGATAAAAATTTGACAAAAAATTGATTAAAATTATAACTTGATAGCATTAATAAGAAACAGCGACGCACGAAAGCGTCGACAAAGAACGAAAAGCAAATCGCTGAATAGTAATCACAACCATGGTGGAAGTATATTAGGTGTGCTCGTTTTCGAGAATTTCGTACCATTTTGCGCACAACCAGATGCGGCCATTTTAAACATTTACATCGTGGCAACTTTGAAGTGACATATTGCGGAAATGAGTATTGATATTGACACGTGATACAATCGTTATTCTAATTATTATTTTTATGAATCATTATCATCATTATTTTTATAAATTAATAAAGAATTTTTCATGATTGCGACTAATGAAAAGAATGTAATGTATATGATCGGTGTTCAGATTCTCTCGGACTAGCTCAATCGAAGATACCTTTTTCGGTCTCTTCATCGATTCGCTTTCCATCTCTTGCTGTCGCACTTTCACACGACTCGTTAACGCCGACGAGTCATCAGGGAATACATTTTAATTTCCATCGCGCAGATAAAACGAATCGTTCATACAGTCAGAGGAAACCTTATCACGTTATTATATTCAACAATCTGCCGGTTCCCAACTCGTCTTGGTTTTAATTAGTCTTTGCACATATTTTATAAATAGGGGAGTAGAAAAAAGGGAAAACAACATGCGTGCTATGATTGTCAACAATTACCAGTTCTTATCGTAAACTTGAATAAAAAATAGTCATGCGAGTTCTCGCGTTGTCAAAAAAAGAGTCTTTCACACTCTCATGAATCGGTTGATATCGACATGCAAGAGCTCGAGTATATTTCATTCGCGAGACATTACAATTATCTAATTATCCCCGTTAATTATTATACAATGAGTTCGCTCAATTTGCTGAAATTCAATTCGAAATTCAATTAGAAATATGCGGGTAAAGTCATTTTCAAATAACGAATATGTGTCGAGTAAAAACTTGTACAAATAGTTTCCGAAAAAAAGAATGCAGAAATTTATATTTTTTCCGATTTCCGAAGAAAAGAATATAATGTCACAATGACATAGCGTCAACTTCAAATAATCATAGCAACATGGCGGCTTTTGGGATTGCAATGTTAGACTTAAAAATTTGTTTAATCATATCATATTGTAATGAACCCATATAAATCACAAAGAATTTCAATTTTTATATGAATTATATTCAGTAAAGCATTCAAATAACTAATCTAATCTATTCAAATAACTTGTAACTATTGTAAATATCTTAAAATCATAAAATCATTGTATGTAAGGCGAATTCTCTTTGATAAATATCTGTTTTGTTACAATGATAAAATTTTTCTGTAAACAGTCGACAATCTTAAATTTTAAAAATTAATATAAAGTCGCCATTATTCGTGTATCGAACTTTTTTATGTCTTGAAAAAGTCTAGACAATACAGAAGTCTAAAGAAAAGACAGCTTTATATTGATTTTTTAAATTTTAAGATCAGATAACGATTTTCGTTATAAACGGGAAAAAATTAATTAGTATTGATATTAGGTCCAGCAAATTGATATCAGTGTTTATTTCATGAGGAAGATCGGATTAAATTTTCGACTTTGTAATTGTGAATTATGTTGTTATCCAAACTGTTCTTCATTTTATTGTATCCAAAATGAAGTCATATGTATTGATACGTGATTAGTTATTTGAATAGATTAGATTAGTTGTTTAAATAATTTGCTAAAGGATTTGCTAACAGATTTTGGATCTCGTGCATGTATGCATGGAGAGCTATTTATAGTTTTTTTCTTACACTAACACTACTCTAGGTGAAAGTTCACCCATATAAATCAAAATTTTTTTTATATTTTTTTATGTTTTTACAAATTACAAAATATAAAATAACTGAACTATCACTATATTTTTATGTACAAAAAATAAATAAATTTTAACGTTAAACAATCTTATTAAATTATTTTATGCCACTAAAATTTTAGTAACAATAATTATATTAAATTTGAATTAATACTTGAGTGAAATTTCACCCACAATAGTATTTTAATATATTTTATATTATATAATTATATTTAATTAATATTAATTTACGCGTCAATGTCATGTACGCGTGAAGAATCGGATAGACGCGTGGTGTCGATATAATTTATATTTTTTTTTAAAAAAAGATGAAAAAAGATGCCTATTTATTGTAGAAAATTTGTTTATGTTGCAAATGTTGCAACTTTCTTTTCAGCACCTGGTTATGTTCTTTTAACTGTTTAATATTAGTCTTTAAACTATTGCCTGTTTCTGTTAAAAATTTAATGCAGGCTGCTCCCTGCTTCAGAATCGACACTTTCGACGCTCTATCATTTTCGGCAACGGCTGGCACTTGCTTTCTTAACTGTTCGTACGATTCCTTCATGTTTATTCGCCGTTGTCGCTCCATGTTATTATGTAGGCGCCTTCTCTCCGTATCCTCAAATGAATCTCTTAAGGCGCACTGTCGCACTGAATTCTGACACTGGTATGATGTGAATGATTCAGGCTGCTGAGATGCATGTACGTTGTGCTGGATACGGGCACGTTTTGGAGCGGGACCAGATCGATTGGTCCTTCGTTTTGAGGAACCCGGTGGTCTACCACGGGGCCGGCGAGAAACAGGAGGCTCATCTTCATCCGAGTCTTCGTGTTTTTCCTTGCGTTGAGACTCGAGATCAAAGCGTGCTATCTGCTTTGCGAACGACAGTTGTTTTTTGCCAGTTTTGATTGACACGACGTCAATGATTGCCTCTTCATCTTCTGTAACAGAATTGACGAATTCGTTTGTTAAATATACTAATATGAGCGCAAAGATATTATGCTACATGTTAAACAATATATCATGTAAATAGCTTAAACACATAAATGTCACACTGCCGTGGTGTAGTAAATAATTTAATAGCATTATGTATGTTATTAGTAACGTAATTCGTATAATGAACTGAATATATTCCTCCATTACAAAAATATAACATTTTTTAAAATTAGCTTGAAACTTATAATTCGTGGAATGTTCAATACAAAAATGAAAAGTGTCTACAAAAAACGTTTAGCAATTGGTGTTAGTAGGATTTTCAAACTGCGTCATGAAAATGGTTTTGGCAATCGAACCATTTTAAAGGATAAAGAAATTTATATAATTATCAATTGTTACATATGATATATAAAATAAATAGAAAATTATATAAGCGATATATGACGCAATCCAACTTTCTTCCGAATCGATATGTGCGATAATATTTCCCGTAGTCGAGTAAGTCGCGAAATTGTGAGGGAATAAATATCTCAGCTCGAAATGTACATACAAAAATTACAACAATTATGTAAATAATGAATTAATAATTGGTAAATATAAATAAAAGTAACCCAAATAATAATTAGAAATAAATATATATTTTGTACTTTATTTGCAATATATTGTGATATGTGTGTCTTAGTTTTATAAATTATATTCTAGAAAAAAAATTATGTAAAATTAACCGAGAATTTAACTATAGACATTAATAATACATACAAATTTAAAAAATATTCAGACAAACTCTTAATTATTGTAACCTTCTGTTACGTAAATAATTTTAAATTACCATAATAAGGCATATCTTTGTAAGAAAAAAAATTATAAAGCGTTGAAAAAAATCCCTTTGAGGAAGAAATCAGAATTACTAACACACTGCAATAATTCAGGTCGTAAAAGCGAAGGATAATCGACAGCCTTTGACAGCGAGTTTTTTTGAGACCATGTGGCCAAGGAGGCGTTCTGAATGACATACGAAACCGTGGGCGTTTCTGCAAACTATGCCATTCTCGGCGCCTGGATGAACAATTGATGGAAATCCGGTTGGTCCGGATTCCTCGTATGGATGCAACCACGAATACTCTCGACAAGGGCACTTCCGTAATATGGTTCGATGTCATATTCACGAGCATGTATTCAAGAGAGAGAGATTAACTTCACCTCTCTATTTCTCCCAGCTCTAACCCGTTCGCGTGAATTGTAGTATAATTCTATCGCAACGATTATTTCGCATCCACCAAGCGGTTTATCTTATCTTTATTGAGTCAATTCTCTCGTTGGGTATTCGAGATGATTCATATATAATAAAGCGCAATAAGTCGTTATTAACTTATTATGTACTCAATGTTTCTGTGTGCTTCCCGAGTCGCGATTACCACACGTTGAAAATTTTTTCAATCCGTTTCTTCGGTAATAAAATCCGCGAGATCCGCGAAAGAATTTACGAGGAAAAATCTCGCCAACACGTGCTTCGTATTATAATTTTCGTTCGCTAATGAACTTATTGAGAAGCCCCTCCTTCCGTGCCAAGTTTTATCGGTAATTTTATGCTACAATCTTGCGTCCTTCGTTAGCCGCAAGACTGCCGTATGCACGCAAGAACGTCACGCAGCTTCGTGCACCTCTCCCATTTATGGAGTAATAATGAGAGTTTGACAAATAACAATGTTTACCGGCCTTCAGAGAAAAAAATACACTAATAGTAAGTATACTGAAATATACGTTTAATCATATTAAATTTTCTGTCATTTTCTTTAACTTAATAAATTCACTCGCATTACATTGAAGCATTAAACATACTGTTAAATTACGTGACGACATCATTATTGCACTGAGAAAAAAATACTGTTGATTCAATTAAAGTCTATATTACGGGCTGTTTATTACTAACATAAGTGATTAATTCATGTATATATTTTTATTGACATAAAGGCAAATTATTATTTCAATAATCAAGGCCTCTAATTGAATCAATATCATTTGTTTCTCAGTGTGGGTATTTAATTGTTTAAAAATATTTATATGTGTGTGCTTACATATTTTTATGTGCTTATATTTTAACTTTGCTAATTCCATATACAGCAACTTCTAGTACGCACTAATCTCGTGTTACAGAGTTCGTTATTAAGAATCAATTTTTCATTGTTATATCGGAACTGAGTCACGAGAGATTGAATTCGCGTGGCTATGCCGCTAGAGGGAAATGCACGTTAAACTGTGCCATTTAAAGACGAATCCAATTAGCGCTATTCATTTAGACCTTCCAGCGTGCATACCCTTTTTGGCACCGCTCCATAGGTGCCGTAACATTTTAGCCCGGGCTCATAAACGAGGACAAGCGGAAGGAGACACTCGTCGAGGCACGAGGAAGAAAAGCGAGACGTCTGTCGGCCTCGCACGTGCACGAAAGCGGCCTCGCGTCAAGGCGCTTCCACGTGCTTGATGCATTCGGATATATGAATCCCCAGCCGAATCTGGCCCGGGTCCAGCACGTCTCGTCTCGCCCGCGAAAAGGCGCGAAACGTCTAAAAATAATGCAACTGTCCAAGTTAGTAGGCGAGGCTCTGATTTACTCTCATGCGCCGGCGTTATTATTCGCGATCCGTAATGAGACATCAAATAATAAACACTTGGTAATCAACAAACACTCGGTATATAGCCACTTAATGGGAATTACTTAAAAGATAAATGCTTGATAAGTTAAAGTCGATAGTTGAAGGAAAGGAATTGTTATATTGTAAATATTATTTTTAAACGTACCGTTATTTTTTTAAGTATTATTTAATTACGCAATTAAATTACTAAGTGCTTCTTTCCGCGTATCATAATGTAATGTGTCTATTATCTGTTTAGAATTCCTACAAAAAACTAAGTCAAATTAAAAAGCTCTTTTTCCCTTTCGCTTTCCTTTTTTACTGTCACTGACATTATAATGCGAATAACTCGGTCGAGGGAGTGCCTCAATTTTTCGTCACGTTCCACGATGTTCACGATATTTAATTAGCACAGTCATATATGTTTAAGTGTATATGTTATTGTATGTGTGTGAGATAAGCGAGGAGAGCGAAGCTCGAGCAAGAGCGTGACTCGCGTGTGACGGGAACGCGGAAGTCGCGCGTGCAATTGAACGTCAGAATATATGTTAATAATCGCACGACTGTAGGCGCAGCGGAATTTGTTTGTATTGGTATCTGTGTCGTTGATGTACGCGGGATAGAACATCGCGAATGCGCGATCATGCTGCACGGAATGACGTTCTAACGCCAGTTACGTTATACCATACGTAACTAATTCATTAATCGGTAATCGTCGACCGACTTGTCTCCATAATAAATGTTGTTACTAACTACGGATCTCTCGAGGACGCGTGATAAATAACTGAGAACGTTAGCTCGCTGCAAAGTCAATTCCTCCCGGCGATCTGCATAAAGATAACTAATAAATGGAAAGAACGGTTTTATGGAAATAGTTGTGCTATGAAATATTTATAAAAAATTAATTTTAAAAAATTAATAAATTTTTGATATCTCAGCAGAACTTTCCATGTAAAGATTTAGTTAGCTACAGACAAAATAATTATCTAGAACGCTCAAGCATGATGCAATGTTGTAAAAAATTGTAGCGTCCTAATAAACATCTCGAGTGTCTTATATATTATTAGTCGTTTTCATGGTTCAACAAAATTATTTTCAGATCTGTATCTAGCTAAATGTTTACAGACTTCAGTGAAACTGTTCTTTTCGTGATAACATATATACATGTATTATGATAATAATTCTTTCCAAATTACGGACGTATAATCACTCTTATTTATCGATCAGATATTACTCACTCACTTGCACGCGCAGCACAATATATACATTTACTAGTAATGAATTACAATTAACGTTACAAAACGTTATAAAACATTAGCATCATTATACAATAAAAGAAACACATCGCAAGGCACTGCGTGCTCGAGTAATCCACCTGACTTCGCTAAAAGTTTCTCAACCTATCTACCCTTGTTGATACGTCCCGTATTAGATTCCATTCTCTCTCTCTTTCTCCTCCCCCCTCTCTCTCTCTCTCTCGCCCAACTCACTTCGTCTCGTTTTACGTCTCGTTTTCGTCTCGTTTTCGTCTCGTTTTACAAATATCAGTCTTATGAATGCATGTGTCACACGCGCCGTCGCGAGGAGGCTGTAGAAGTGGTCGGCGGTCCATCGCGATGCAAGCACGTCGGTGCAGCGTCTCGATGGAAGAAGGAGTGACGGGGGATCAAGTATTCCGCGAGGCCAGAAGGGGGGAAGAGGACGATAGATGGTAGAGAGAAGGGTAACGTCAATTCGCGGCAGCACGTGCACGGTACAGTCGCGTAAGAACGACCTTGGAGGTCAGTGCTCTCCGCGTAAGCAGGCCATAGTAGTACGTCGACGCGATCGATCATCTCTCCTCCTCCTCCTCCTCCTCCTCCTCCTCCTCTCTCTCTCTCTCTCTCTATCTCTCTCTCTCTCTCTCTCTCTCTCTTTCTCTCGTTGAAGTAGGCGACGCGGCGTCGATAGAGGAAACCAGAGGAATAGAATGAGGAACAGACAGACAGGGGTAGGTGGTAGCAGAAGGAAGCGAGAGACACGACGAGGAGGAGAGGACTCCTCCTCCGCCGTATCGAACGCGACGAAAGTCCCTGCTTAGATGTTTGGGCGTGGATTTGGGGTGAGAGTCTATACTCCCGCGCTTCGGTTTTCAGGTGTAACCCCTTTTCGCCCCTTGTATTCCCCTTGGCTCTGTCTCTCGGATACTGGAATGCGGTTCCCCGTGAAAGTAGCGAGCGAGCGCGAAATTCGTGGACGGATAAATCCGAGATATTGTCTGATTATTGGGAAGATATCTTGAATTATTTAAAGTAATTTATATGAATTACTTTATATGATGGTTAGACAGTTGGAAAATTTATTCTAATAATAGTCAAATATTATGTAAATTA